AGCCCAGGACCAGATGGCTTCACTGGTGAATTCTAACCAAACATCTTAAAAAAGAATTAACAGCACTCTTTCCCAAACTCTCCAAAAATACTGACGAGGAGGGAGCAACACTTCCTACTCATTCTGCAGTCAGCATGACCCCGATACCAAAGACACGACAAGAAAACCACAGACCAGTATCCACTGTGAGCATGGATGCAAAAATCCTCCACGGAAGACTTGCAAAGTGAGATCAACAGCATACTGAAAGGATTGTGTACCCTGGAAAAATGAGATAGATTCCTAAAATGCAAAGGTGGTTCAGGACATGAAAATCAATCAGTGGAATGCATCACATTAACAGAATAATGGGGGGAAAAACACGATCATCTCAATTGATGCACAAAAAGTACTTGACAGAATTTATCACCCTTTTATGATAAAAACACTCAAACTAAGACTAGAAAGTGACTTTTCCTCCACCTGCCAAAGGGCATCTACAAAAAACTCACAGCTAACATCATACTTTATGGTTAAAGAAGAAAAGTTTTCCACTGAAGATCAAGAACAAGACAAGGATGGCTTCTACCATTTCTATTCGAAGTAGTACTGGAGGATCTGCCAGAGCAATTAGACAAGGGAAAAATGCTGGAGGACTCAGATGAGAGGAAGAAGTAAAGTTGCATTTGCATATGATATCCTTTTGTATGTAGAAAATTCTGAGGAATCCACAGTAAAACTACTTGACTAATAAACAGGTTGAGCAAGGTTAGAGGGCACAAGATCGGTATACAAAAATCAATTAAATTTCTGTACGCTAGCAGCAAACAACCTGAAAATGAGACAAAGAAAACAACTTCATTTATAACGCTGTCAAAAAGAAAAATACTTAGAGAAATTTTTAATCAAAAAATGCAAGATGTATACACTAAAAACTACAAGACATCATTCAAAGAAATTAAAGAATACCTAAATAAATGGGAAGGCATCCTGTGTTCATAGATTGGAAGACATACTATTGTTAAGAAGAAAACAGTCCCCAAATGGATCTGCAGATTCAACACAATTCTTATCAAAATTTCCACTGCTTTTTAATTTTTTTTTCAGCAAAACTTGACAAGCACATCCTGAGATTCATCTGGAAGTGCAGGGGATCCAGAAGAGCCAAAATAATCTAGAAAAACAACAAAATTGGAGGCTCACACTTCCTAATTTCAGATTTTACCACACAGACACATACATCAGTGACACAGACCGGAGACCACATGCATCTGTGGTCACAAAATTTTCAACGGTGCCAAAACTATTCCATTTGAATATTGAATGGCCTCTTCAACAGGTGCTGCTGGCACAACTGGGTATCCATGTGCAGAAGAATGAAGCTGGACCCCTGCCTCACACCACATACAAAATTGTCTCAAGTGAATTAAAACGTAAATGTAAGAGCTAAAACTATAAACCCCTTAAAAGAAATAGGAGTAAATCCTCATGATTTTGGACTAGACAGTGGTTTCTTAGATCTGACACCTCAAGCACAAGCAACCAATGTGGAAAAATAAGATACCTTGGGCTTCATTAAAATTAAAACCTTTTTGCTTCAAAGGACACTATCAAGGGAGTGAAAAGACAACCCACAGAGTGGGAGAAAATACGTACAGCTCATGTGAGAAGGATCTGGTATGCAGAGCATCTAGCACACTCTTAGGACTTAATAAAAAGAAAACTAACCCTATTAAAGGCAAGGGAACTGAATGGATATTTCTCCAAAGATTTACAGTCGACCCATAAGCACATGAGAAGATGGTCAGCATTGTTGCTTGTTAGGGAATCATGGCGCAAAACAACAATGAGGCGCTGTGTCTGTCACACACTGGGATGGCAGGAATAATGTTGTCAGTGGAGCCAGCACGCACGGGAGAGCACGTGAGGATGCTGGGAGACTCTTACTTGCTGGTGGGAATGCAGAATGGTACAATTTCTGGGAAGACAGTTTGTGATTTCTTCAGAAAGTAACTCATGGCATGACCAGGTGACCCAGCATTTCCAGTCGTAGGTGTAGATTCAGAAGAACCTGATATTCATGTAGACACGATTGACCATAGCAGGGTTATTTATAGTCAAAAAGCGGATGCAGCCCAGATGCCCAGGAACTCGTGAATGGACAAACAGAATGTGGTTCCTTCATACACAGGGACTGGATTCAGCCATGGAAAGGAGGGAAGCCCCGACTCACGCCACCAAGTAGATGTACCTGGAAAACGCCAAATTCAGAGAAAGAAGCCAGACGCAAAAGGCCGAACGTTGTAGGATTTTGTTTATATGAAATGTTGGAACAGGCAAATCCAGAGACAGAACATGGATGAGTAGTTGTCCGGGGCTGGGGAAGGGGGCATGAGGGTGATGAAATGTTCTGGAATTCAAGAGTGGTGAAGGTTGGCAACTTTCTGAATATACTAAAAAACAGAATTGCACCCTATAGAAGGGTGAACTTCATGATATGTGAATTATAGCTCAGTATTTTCAAAAGGAGGTGGCAGTTTTGGAGGTAGCTGGGAAGTTAGCAGGTGTCAGCCTGAAGCAGGTGGAGGAGCTGTCTCCAACGATGGCTGCTGGGAGCGGCCTGCCTAGCACAGGCAGGAGGAGGGGGAACCGCACAGCCCAGCCAGAAAGGGGAACACGGCTTTTCTTCCTTTCCTTTTTCCCTCTTTTTCTTTTTAATTTAAGATGAGTGAGACTTGTACATGCTTTGGGGCTGAATGACAGAAGCCAAGAGAGGCAGGGCCCCGTGCCAGGAGGAGGGCGAGGGGCGGGGCAGGAAGGAGCCAGTGCCAGGAGGAGGCCGGATTGGAGGTGGAGTGTCAGGGGAGTGTGGGCCTGCACGCCTTCTCCTGTGTCACGCAGGAGGCCAAGTCAGAGGGAGGAGGGATCAAAAGCACCCGCGCTAGAACCATCTGGAATGAGAACCCAGACTTCCCAACCCCCAGGCAGATGCTCTTTCTCCCACGCCGCACAGCCCAGATCGTTTAGACGGTGAAGAGCCTGTGAAGCTTCAGTTCATAAAACACTTGGGATCTTTGTGTGCGAGATTCGTGTTCCGCTGAGGGGTAGGAGCCGGGTTCTCTGCATAGGAACCAAGTCACAAGTCAGTGACGCAGACTCGTTCGCAATTGTGAGCACCAGTTCCTTCCCATTGACAAATATTTAAATTCAACTTGTGATTATCGAAGAAATTTTCTATGAGGAAACTACGGGCATATGGCAAGAGGCATTTATACGACTGACTCTAGAATGGGCATTTTAGAAGCAGGGCCCTCACTTCATATCAGGGGACCTGGGGGGCTCCAGTTTGCTCCAGGGGGCGGACAGTCAGATGTGGAGCCCGCGCCAGATCCACAGTGATGGGACTTGGGGCCGTGTGGGCCAGCCTCCCACACCGTGTCGCCTCCCTGGGGACCCCAGCCTCCCGCACCGTGTCGCCTCCCTGGGGACCCCAGCCTCCCGCACCGTGTTCCCTCCCTGGGGAACCCAGCCTCCCGCACCGTGTCGCCTCCCTGGGGACCCCAGCCTCCCGCACCGTGTCGCCTCCCTGGGGACCCCAGCCTCCCGCACCGTGTCGCCTCCCTGGGGACCCCAGCCTCCCGCACCGTGTCGCCTCCCTGGGGACCCCAGCCTCCCGCACCGTGTCGCCTCCCTGGGGACCCCAGCCTCCCGCACCGTGTTCCCTCCCTGGGGAACCCAGCCTCCCACATCGTATCGCCTCTCTGGGACCCCAACCCCTGCGTGCCCAGCCTGAGGACACAGTCCCCTCCTCAGATGGCATCGCTCTCAGGCCCTGCAATGCTCCTGTGTAGGCTGGGGCCCTCCTCTACCCTCCGCTCCTGATGGAATCTCAACTGAAACAAGAGGCAATACCACGGGAGATGGGATCTGCCAACCACTGAAGTCGCATCCCTGAGTTCCTGCCCAGTGGGCTCTGGGTGCAGCTTGGTGCTGCAGGATGGGGTTTGGTGCCATGGGGCATGTGCGTGGAGTCAGCAGTCTCCACCATGGGGGCCGTCGTCTTTTCTCTTATTCTCAGATTGTGGGACAACTCATAGGGCGGAGATGTCAGTCTGGTGGTTTCCTGTGGGTTTTTATGAGTTTCATCACTTTACTTTAGATAATTGGGCAGGATCGTGAGTTTCTTTAATTTCAAGAGCTGTGAGGCTGCTGGTTCCTGGGGCACACAGTGTCTCTAAGCTTCGTCCCAGCCCTCACCCCTGCTGCCCCCTGCAATCCCTGATGGGCAGGGCGGGGACAGTTCTCCTGGGACTGATCCCACAGAGCCTGAGTGCCAGGCAGCCCCTGAGGCCACGTCGGGGGGTCGCTGTGTGAGCAGCCCCTGCTGGCTGCGGGGTGACGAGGGCCCAGGCCCAGGCACCAGTGGGAACCCTCAGAGCAGGCTGCTGGGATGCACTTTTGGAGCTGTGGGGCTGCAGCTGAGCCTGGAAGCTCCAGAAGGACCAGGTTGCATGGAGAAGCAGAAGGCGCCTGTCCAGGACAGCAGAGCTAAGAGGAGGCATGGACTCAGAACCAGGGTCGGGCTGCAGGCAGGCGGTGGGGACCCACGCCACAGCCTGGAGACCTCAGGGAAGGTTCTGGGCAGGTTCTGATGGGCTTGGGGGAATGGATCAGCCTCCTCCATCAGTCCCCACGGTTCGGGTCCTCCTGTGCCTCTTGTCTGCCTGCCCGTGTCTCCTTTTGGACACAAGCTCAGTGGCCTGGGCCCCTCGGCAGGTACACCATGCCTGTGTCTTCAGAGTGGCCGTTTTCTGGGCTCATGAAGGAGCCAGGATGATTAAAATGGCAGGCAGTTGGGTTGCTGGTGTTCGGTTGCTGGGGAGGCCTGTGATTGGAGCAAAGCCTGCTGCTGTGTTGCAGCCACTGAATGGCGCTCCAGCTGGACACCACACGGACCCAACAGGTCCCAGTCAGACTCGCTCCGTGGGGCCAGCAGACTTGACCTTCTCTCGATTTCACAGGGTCAGCTGGAGGCCCACCAGGAGGAAGGCATGGTGATCTCCCACATGGCCGTGGCCGGCGTTGGCATCTGGATTGCCTTCACCTCGGGGTCCACACTCCGCCTTTTTCACACGGAAACTCTCAAGCACCTGCAGGACATCAACATCGCCACCCCTGTTCACAATATGCTGCCAGGTAAGGGGGTGGGACGGGGCCCAGGGATGGGCATGGGGGTGCGGAGCACCGTCAGCCCACCTTAGTGCTTCCTGGTGCAGGACACAGAGGCCCCTGAAGGAGCCACGTGCTGGGAGGAGCCACGTGGCGGTGCCATCTCTCTAGGTCAAGGCGGGTGGGAGACGATTTCTCATTATCGGCACAACAAGGCCCTGGGGAAGCCGGGACCTGAGGCTGAAGATGGCAGAACAGGCGGCCTCCCTGCGGCTGGCGGGGCTGTTGGGGAGAGGCTGTTTGTGAATGCCCCGTTGCTGGTGGGTATCACTGAAGTTTCTGGGCAGGGAGGGAGGCCGTTACACATTGAGTTTTGGAAGGATCATCCTACAGCAGGGTGTGGAGAAAAGAAATGAGGAGGGGCCCAACTGGCTTCCTTCATGGGTAGCCTGGGGCCACACTGGGGTCCATGGAAGGGCTGTTTTGGTTCTTTGCCTGCTGGTGAGTATTGGAAGATGTTTGCAGTTTTAAGGGGAAGGCATGAAGTAAGGGCTCTGCCTCGGTGCCCCTCGGCTGCTGTGATACACGCCACAGGTGGGCAGGCTTACAAGCCAGAGAGGCTGCCCCTCCGCGTTCTGGAGGCTGCATGCCCAGGAGCACGGTGCCTGCAGGGCAGGTTTCTGGGAGGATCTGCTTCCTGCTTTGCAGTTGCTGCCTTCTGACTGGGGCCTCATGTGGTGGAAAAAGAGCCCTGGGGTCTCCTCCGCTTCCTGTAAGGGCGCTAATCCCATCATGGGGACCCTATCCTCATGATCTCATCTGACCCTAATCACCTCCCCAAAGCCCCGCCTCCTCGTACCATCCCACTGCAGGCAGGGCTGACATCGAAATTTGGGGAGATACGATCAGTCCATGACGGGCCATTTATGATACATTGAAAAAAACCACAATGATTAGGGGTCCGGTTCTAGAACGGGTGTGAGGCTGTCCTTTGACAAGGGGAAGATGAGGAGGATGAGGAGGCATTGAGGATGTTCCTCGGGGCCGCTGCGTCCCCTCCGCACTCCCATTGGAGGTGGGAGGGTGAATATATTTGGTGCATGGTGAGTCCGTGATAGCCATTCGTTTCTCAGGGGCTAACTGTACAAGTCATTGTTAAAATACTCCAGGAGATTTCTCTTGGTGGAGAAAAGGAGGAAAAGGAGGAGAAAAAAAGGAAAAGGAGGTTTATGTAACATGCAGATTTATATTTAGAGAACCAAAATGGTTAAGTCCCCGTGGCTTAGAAAGCAGACGGACGCTCTGCTGCGGACCTTGTGTTTTCTTTGGAGCACTCGCTGCTGGAGCAAATGTTTGCTGCAGGAATGGGCTGTCGTTGTTGGGACAGAACCAAGTCACATCCGTAATTGCCAAAGCTCTCACGTGGCAGTGAGTGTCCGTGTGTTCAAAGTTCTGTACACAAGGGGAGGTGAGGAGGGCGTTGCGAGAAAAACCTCTCCCCTCGACCTCCCGTGGGCTGCAGCCCCTGAGCCTCCCAATCCCGCCCCGGCTGCCTGCAGCGCAGGCCTCCCTCTGGGGAGGAGCAGCCCACGGTTACCCTGGTTCCAGAGTTCCGAGAGCGGCCATGGAAATGCAGCGGCCCCGCAGGATCTTTGGTGTTTATCCCTCTCCGGTTAGGATCAGAAAGAAACTCCTAATGAAGGGAAGGCTCTGGCCAGTGTGAGTGGAGTCTGTATTTTGAATTTGATTTTTTAATAAAATAACCCTTGCACACGATTTAATAAAAGCCAACAGCACTCACGCCCAGGCTATGAAAAGCAAAGCAGGATAGGAAAGGCTGCGCTCTGGGGGCCTACAGCCTCGCCCCTGTCCCAGCACCTACCCACTGTCAGCACCCACCCCCATCCCCACCCCCCCACCCCCGCCCCCATCCCCCCCCCCCCACCCCCGCCCCCATCCCCACCCCCCCACCCACTGTCAGCACCCGCCTTCGCCCCCATTCCCACACCCCACCCCATAGACAGGGCTCACCCCCAGCCCCCATCCCCACACCCCACCCACTGTCAGCACCCACACCCCCATCCCCACACCCCACCCCATAGTCAGCACCCACCCCCATCCCCACACCCCACCCCATAGACAGGGCTCACCCCCAGCCCCCATCCCCACACCCCACCCACTGTCAGCACCCGCCCCTATCCCCATATCCCACCCCATAGTCAGCACCCACCCCCCATCCCCACCCCCTACCCACTGTCAGCACCCACCCTCGCCCCCATCCCCACACCCTACCCCATAGTCAGCACCCACCCCCCCATCCCCACACCCCACCCCATAGTCAGGGCTCACCCCCAGCCCCCAGCCCCCATCCCCACACCCCACCCACTGTCAGCACCCGCCCCCATCCCCACACCCCACCCCATAGTCAGCACCCAGCCCCCCATCCCACACCCCACCCCATATCAGGGCTCACCCCCAGCCCCCATCCCCACACCCCACCCACGGTCAGCACCCACACCCCCATCCCCCCACCCCACCCCATAGTCAGGGCTACCCCCCCATCCCCACACCCCACCCCATAGTCAGGGCTCACCCCGCCCCCATCCCCATACCCCACCCCATAGTCAGGGCTGACCCCCACCTCCCATCCCCACCCTCCACCCACTGTCAGCACCCACCCCCGCCCCCGTCCCCACACCCCACCCCATAGTCAGCACCCACCCCCCCATCCCCACACCCCACCCATAGTCAGGGCTCACCCCCCAATCCTCACCCCCACCCCATAGTCAGGCCACCCTCCCCCCCCACCCCCACCCCATAGTCAGGGCTCACCCCCCCCCCCACCCCCCACCCCATAGTCAGGCTCACCCCGCCCCATCCCCACCCCCCACCCCATAGTCAGGGCTCACCCCTGCCCCATCCCCACCCCCCACCCCATAGTCAGGGCTCACCCCTGCCCCCATCCCCACCCCCCACCCCATAGTCAGGGCTCACCCCCGCCCCCATCCCCACCCCCCACCCCATAGTCAGGGCTCACCCCTGCCCCCATCCCCACCCCCTACCCCATAGTCAGGGCTCACCCCTACCCCCCATCCCCACACCCCACCCACTGTCAGCACCCGCCCCCGCCCCCATCCCCACACCCCACCCCATAGTCAGCACCCACTCCCTCATCCCAGCACCCCACCCACTGTCAGCACCCATCCCCGCCCCCCGTCTGCATACCCCACCCCACTGTCAGCTGCCTCTCCCGCCCGCCTCCCTGCTGCTGCTGTTCGAAAGCCACTCCTGTATGGCAGGTTCTTAATGTTTTGTTTTAGATACTGTCTACTCCGTAGAAGAGAAAGACAGAATCATCCTGCTTCCCTCCAAGCATAGAGCACCCAACACAGTCCTGCACCGGTCCAGAAACAGAATGCAGAGCCCTTGCCGGCTGCTCAGGTCGCAGATTCTGGCTAAATCGCAGCTGCCTGTGTTGTGTGTTTTGGATGATGAAGTTGTGGCTGGGCGCTCAGTCTCCCTTCCTTGGTACTTGTCACCCTTCAGCTCATGATGGATCCATCCCAAGCCCACCACAAGCCTCTCACTTGGTGCCAGCAGATGTGTGGGGCTCTGCAGAGCCACCATCCCCTGGCGCCCACCCTCCCAGGCCCCTCTAACATCCTGGGCTGACTCTGCACGGCCACAGTGTGTGCTCTCAGCCCCCGGCTCCGGGGGCCCCTGAATCATGGGTCTTTACTTATTCCTGCACAGAGAGTCAGGTCTGCATTTTAGACCCGCGTGAAAGCAAACGCATGCATCTGTCCAGATGGAGCGCTGTGCCCATAGTTGGCAGGTTCTCCAGCATTTCAGTACTAAGTTTGAAATAGCTCCAGCCTCACTGATTTCTGGGGAACACTGACTGCTTTACCCACATTCAGTTCTCTGCTCCAAGGCTGTGGTCTGTGGCCACCGTGGCCTCCTCAGTAGGAGAAGGGTACACGGGTTAGAGCCGACCTCGGTGACAGCAGAAGTTCAGCTTTGTTTGTGATGCTTCCAACCCTGATTCTCTGTAAGATCCTCGGTGCGGCATAGACTGAAATGATTCTGATTTTCGTTGCATTTTGTGACTCAGACGGAATGAGTAGCCAGAGAGTCCTTTCCTCTCGTCTCCTCTGTCCCGTCGTCTTTGCCTTTCAGCCAGTATTTCATATTTCATAGAAATAAGCACTATGGCATTCCACACTGTGTTTAGACATTCCGGTCGGGGCACATTCATGCGGTGCTGAAGCGCACGGACGCTGAGGTCGCCGGGCCGTCACCACTCCTGGGTTCTTCTCCTCACCATCCAACATGGTTCCTGGAGGCCCACACATGTCCGCTGTGCTCTGTTCACACACACACAAAACCTTCATTCTCGAGTTGTATTCATGACGATGCTCAAATGGGTTTTCGTGTGTGTGTGTGTGTGTGTGGCAACAAGACATAAAATTATCTTTTTGTGCTATTGCTGGAATATAAAAGTCAGGTAGCTTCTGCACATGAAGACTTGCCAAGCGAAAAACAACAAAATTTGAAATAAGCAAACTGTACTATAACTCCTGCCTTTTGTATAAGTTCACACGGCGTGATGAAACCTCCTTCCTTCCTCGGGGTCTCAGCCTGCTGGCCCCTGGGGACTCCATGAATCTGTAGCTAAGGACCTGGCTTTACTCCTTCTATTTGGAATTCAGTTCTGAAAACCATTTAGCTTGCGTTCTTTCACATAAGCTACATCAGGTTCGACACAGACTAACGGTTGATGAAGGCCTGTGATTAACATGCACGTTCGTTAGAGCAGTCATGACCTTTCTAAGTTAAAAAGGAGCAGAGTTCACGGCAAGTGGGTTCACGGCGCCTCAGCTTTTAGGTTGTGAGCAGTTGCAGTAGGTTACATCACCAGGCAGATGTTTCCTGCTCTGTCCCGCATGTTCAAAGGAGGATATTTTTTATGGAAAAGTGCTGAGACCCCATGGTAAACTGCACTTTTCTGAGTCTCCACTGAGTGAATACAGAGCCTCCAGGAACTATGTGAACAAATAAAATGGCCAAAATTTCCATTAAAAAACAACAACAACAAAAAAAACCAGTGTAACTTTTCTAAAGACCAGGGACTACACCAATGAAACCGGACTCAAGATGGTGAGTTAAGGAACGAGACCGAGGACTTGGGAGCCACAGCCTCTCTCGGCAGCCTGTGTGGCCCTGGCCTGTCCTTTGGTTTGTATTCCAGACTGGGAAGAGCAGAGGGTGAATCCCCCTGGTAGCATTTCCTCCGACACTTGAGGGACGTATTTGCTTCTTCCAGTCACTGTTCTGTCTCTGAGGTTATTTGAATGAACTTTACACCCCCAGCCCCTCCCAGCCTCCAGGGCAGGAAATGCGTCTCTCTGTGGCTGCCTATGGAAGGCCCTGGTGGCTCTCAACGGAGTGGCCATGCAGCAGCGGCTCACGTGCAGTCAGTCCCACTTCACGCTTGTAACCCATTGACCAACCTCACTGTGCAGCTGCATCACCGTTCACCACCTCAGCTGCCCCGCCTCCCACCTCCCAGCAGACCTCCGTGGGCTGCAGCTCCCGGGACCCAGCCCCGTCTGGAACACACCCTGCTGTCCTGTTCTAGGTCATCGTTGGCGCTTCCGGATGGGCAGGGGACGCCTGGATAGCGGCACTCACCACAGCCTCTGGAATCGGAAAATGACCGCATGATCTCGTGACTGTGGCAGTCAACTTTCTTATGTAAAATTAAAGATGCCGATGGGCAGACTGCTTGGAAAGTGCAACGGAAAGCCGCTCTCTGGAACTTAACTGTCCTATGTAGTTCCTGGGTACTTTGAAACCAGTTAAAACATTCACGTCTGGTTTTTACCTGCTTAATCTTTATTTTTTATTTTATTTTTATTTATTTATTTATTTGAAACTAAGTTTTGCTCTTTTTGCCCAGGCTGGAGTAATGGTGCGATCTCAGCTCACTGCAACCTCCGTCTCCCGGGTTCAAGTGATTCTCCTGCCTCAGCCTCCTGAGTAGTTGGGATTACAGGCGCCGCCACCACACCTAGCTCATTTATTTTATTTTATTTATTTATTTATTTATTTATTTATTTTTGTATTTTTAGTAGGGACAGGGTTTCACTATGTTGGCCAGGCTGATCTCGAACTCCTGATCTCAGGGGATCCACCCGCCTTGGCCTCTCAGAGTGCTGGGATTACAGGCATGAGCCGCTGCGCCCGGCCTGCCCTTTTTATTAAATGCAAGCTTTGGCCAGCATCACAGGAGCCCTTCCAGAAGCCGGGCCAGCATTTCAGTCACGCGGCCGCAGCCTTTCCCGGCACGCAGGTGGGGCTTCTCCCCTTCCCAGCATCTCACATCCCTGCTCCCACCCCAGGGCTGCTTCCCATCCCAGTGCCACACGGAGGGCTGGGAAGGCCCGGTTCAGGTTGTGTGCTGAACTCGTGTGCACACTGGTTTTCTCTCTCATCAGACAGTCATGTTTCACACTGAAAATACTTACCGTTGAGTCAAACTGCTGCTCTAGAAAGAGCATCCACACTCCCTTTGCGGCCGCACCCCGGGCTGCGCCCCGTGTTGTAGAGCGATCGTGCTTGGGAGCAGCTGGGAATCCTGCGCATCAGCTTCGAAGCGGCTGCCGTGTTTTTCATCAGCTTTAGAAAATAACAGCCCCGGCTTACGTGCAGGACTGTGGATTCACTATCACCCTGACCACATCACGGCAGCCAGGCAGACATTCGGAATTCCTGGGACACGCATATTAGGGAGCTTTTAAAAATAATATCAATCAGCGTTTAGAAATAGAACCAAATGTCTGTCTTTGTCTGTAGTGAGGGTTTTTTGTTTTCTGAGGAGGCTGTTTGACGCCTGTCGATACAGATTCCGTGTTTTTTGTTTTTTGTTTCTGTTTTGGGTGAGGCTGTTTGACCTCAATTCTGAGTCTTTGGCTCTGGTGTCAGATTGTTTTTCATGCTCTTTATCTGAGATGAACTTTGGGTCAAATGCAGGGATATTTAAAAGAGCTTCTATGTCTACAGAAAAGAAGAATCAAACTTTTTAAGTGTTCACCGTCGCTTCTCAGGAACAAGCTAAATTGACCTTCTGTGCTCCTCAGCTCTGGGGCTAAATAGAGAAACACTGGGGTTATCTTGTCTGTGTTGGAAGGCCGTGATGCTGATGATTGTGTCAGAGTTGCAGGGAACGACGTGAAAGTCCAGACCCACCCTGTCACCACCATGAGGCGGGGTCTTCCTGTAACCGCCGTGAGGCGGGGTCTTCCCTGTAACCGCCATGAGGCGGGGTCTTCCCTGTAACCGCCATGAGGCGGGGTCTTCCTGTAACCGCCGTGAGGCGGGGTCTTCCCTGTAACCACCATGAGGCGGGGTCTTCCTGTAACCGCCGTGAGGCGGGGTCTTCCTGTAACTGCTGTGAGGTGGGGTCTTCTCTGTAACCGTGGTGAGGTGCGGTCTTGGAACAGGCCATGCATCTCCCACCCTGTAACCGCCATGAGGTGGGGTCTTCCCTGTAACTGCTGTGAGGTGGGGTCTTCCCTGTAACAGCCGTGAGGCAGGGTTTCCCTGTCACTGCAGTGAGGTGGGGTCTTCCCTGTAACCGCCATGAGGTGGGGTCTTCCCTGTAACCGCCATGAGGCGGGGTCTTCCCTGTAACCGCCATGAGGCGGGGTCTTCCCTGTAACAGCCGTGAGGCGGGGTCTTCCCTGTCACCGCCATGAGGCGGGGTTTCCCTGTAACTGCCGTGAGGTGGGGTCTTCCTGTAACCGCCGTGAGGCGGGGTCTTCCTGTCACCGCCGTGAGGCGGGGTCTTCCTGTAAGCACTGTGAGGCAGGGTCTTTGGAGCAGGCCATGCGTCTCCCACCCTATAACCGCCATGAGGCGGGGTCTTCCCTGTCACCACCATGAGGTGGGGTTTCCCTGTCACCGCCGTGAGGTGGGGTCTTCCTGTAACTGCCATGAGGCGGGGTCTTCTCTGTAACCTCCATGAGGCGGGGTCTTCCCTGTCACCGCCGTGAGGCGGGGTCTTCCCTGTAACCGCCATGAGGTGGGGTCTTCCCTGTAACAGCCGTGAGGCGGGGTCTTCCTGTAACCGCCGTGAGGCGGGGTCTTCCTGTAACTGCTGTGAGGTGGGGTCTTCCTGTAACTGCTGTGAGGCGGGGTCTTCCCTGTAACCGCTGTGAGGTGGGGTCTTCCTGTAACCGCTGTGAGGCGGGGTCTTCCCTGTCACCGCCGTGAGGCGGGGTCTTCCCTGTCACCGCCGTGAGGCGGGGTCTTCCCTGTCACCGCCGTGAGGCGGGGTCTTCCCTGTCACCGCCGTGAGGCGGGGTCTTCCCTGTAAGCGCTGTGAGGCGGGGTTTCCCTGTCACTGCAGTGAGGTGGGGTCTTCCTGTAAGCACTGTGAGGCAGGGTCTTTGGAGCAGGCCATGCGTCTCCCACCCTATAACCGCCGTGAGGTGGGGTCTTCCTGTAACTGCCATGAGGCGGGGTCTTCTCTGTAACCTCCATGAGGCGGGGTTTTCCTGTCACCGCCGTGAGGTGGGGTCTTCCTGTAACTGCCGTGAGGCGGGGTCTTGGAATAGGCCATGCATCTCCCACATTGTTTGGCAGCCACTTTCTAGCCTTGTCACGGCCAGAGCAAACTGTTTAGTTTCTCTGGGCTTCAGATCCTTGGCTGTAAAGCAAATCAAAACCAAACTAACAAAGAACCTCAAAGGCCCTTCTGACCCCGCCGTCCACTGTGGCGTTTCCCTGCTGTGTCCAGCGCCGAGGCCATGTGACAATGTTGTTCTTCACGCAGAGCCCTGAAGAGGCCTTTCAGTTCCCTCTAGGGTCCAGCTGCGGCTGAGGGCCCGTTACTCGAGTCTAGCCATGCGCGCTGAGACCTCTCCTCATTTGTAAAGGGGCCTCTGTGCTCCCAAAGAACCACAGGCCGCTGCGTGTGTCGGGGGCTCACGAGCTCACGTGCTACACGGCCAGGAAGCAAAAGGTTTAGACAGATTCATCCAGGGGCTTGATTCAGGGCTGAAGGGGCCGAGCAGAGCCATGCAGACGACAGCCCAGGAGACCCGGCCAGACATCGGGCCTGTTCTGTCCAGGTGCAGACGCAGGGCATGCCCCCAAGACCCTTGTCTTGCTCGTGTGGTTGAGGAGCCTGGGGCTCGGGTTTGGGAACTCCTGTGCCACATCCTGCCCCTGCGGGGTTTGGTGGTGGCATGACAGACCTGTGGGGTTTCCAGCTCCCTCACCGCCCCACCAACTCTGCTGCACAAACCAGACCCGAAACCACTCGTATGTCTTTCTGCCCAGGGCACCAGCGGCTGTCGGTGACGAGCCTGCTCGTCTGCCACGGATTGCTGATGGTCGGCACCAGCCTGGGAGTCCTCGTGGCCCTGCCAGTCCCACGTCTGCAAGGGATTCCCAAAGTGACCGGTGAGTGGCAGCTGCAGTCTGAGTGGCTGCATCCTGTCTTGCAGACTCATAGAGCATAGCAGTGCGGAGTGTGATTTAACATCCTGGGATTGTTACACAATTCAGATTACCTGTGCGTAGTGTGATTTAACACCCCGGGATTGTTACACAATTCAGATTACCTGTGCGTAGTGTGATTTAACACCCCGGGATTGTTACACAATTCAGATTACCTATGCGGAGTGTGATTTAACATCCCGGGATTGTTACACAATTCAGATTATCTGTGCGTAGTGTGATTTAACATCCCGGGATTGTTACACAATTCAGATTATCTGTGCGTAGTGTGATTTAACATCCTGGGATTGTTACACAATTCAGATTATCTGTGCGTAGTGTGATTTAACATCCTGGGATTGTTACACAATTCAGATTATCTGTATGTTTTCATGGTATTATAATGACTTAGTAGACTGTCTGTTAATTACCAATTTATATGTTTTCTGTTTCTTACGTTAGTAGTCCAAGGAGAATCTTATGTTTTCCTATTCTGTTAAATGCCAGAATTAGTTTCTGTCATTCCTTTCTGTATTTTATATTGTGAAGAAGGAAGCCGGGATCTCTGTCGTTCCTTTCTGTATTTTATATTGTGAAGAAGGAAGCCGGGATCTCCGTCGGTCCTTTCTGTTTTTTATTGTGGAAGGGGATCTCCGTCGTCCTTTCTGTATTTTATATTGTGAAGAAGGAAGCCGGGATCTCCGTTCTTTCTGTATTTTATATTGTGAAAAGAAGCCGGATCTCCGTCGGTCCTTTCTGTATTTTATATTGTGAAGAAGGAAGCCGGGATCTCCGTCGGTCCTTTCTGTATTTTATATTGTGAAAGGAAGCCGGATTCGTCCCTGTCCTTTCTGTATTTTATATTGTGAAGAAGGAAGCCGGGATCTCCGTCGGTCCTTTCTGTATTTTATATTGTGAAAAGGAAGCCGGGATCTCCGTCGGTCCTTTCTGTATTTTATATTGTGAAGAAGGAAGCCGGGATCTCCGTCGGTCCTTTCTGTATTTTATATTGTGAAGAAGGAAGCCGGGATCTCCGTCGGTCCTTTCTGTATTTTATATTGTGAAGAAGGAAGCCGGGATCTCCGTCGGTCCTTTCTGTATTTTATATTGTGAAAAGGAAGCCGGGATCTCCGTCGGTCCGTTCTGTATTTTATATTGTGAAGAAGGAAGCCGGGATCTCCGTCGGTCCGTTCTGTATATTGTGAAGAAGGAAGCCGGGATCTCCGTCGGTCCTTTCTGTATTTTATATTGTGAAGAAGGAAGCCGGGATCTCCGTCGGTCCTTTCTGTATTTTATATTGTGAAGAAGGAAGCCGGGATCTCCGTCGGTCCGTTCTGTATTTTATATGTGAAGGAAGCCGGGTCTTTTCTGTATTTATATGTGAAAAGGAAGCCGGGATCTCCGTCGGTCCTTTCTGTATTTTATATTGTGAAGAAGGAAGCCGGGATCTCCGTCGGTCCTTTCTGTATTTTATATTGTGAAGAAGGAAGCCGGGATCTCCGTCGGTCCTTTCTGTATTTTATATTGTGAAAAGGAAGCCGGGATCCAAAAAGGCTCCGTTGTGCTGTTGCCGTGTCATTAGGAGCTCAGGCTGGAGCACACGGCCTTTCTGGAAAGCTCAGTCCCGTGAGGGATTGGAGGCCTTAAAATATGCTCGTGTGTCTGGAATCAGGATTCCCAATCCAGGGAACTGGCCCAGGAAACAGCCTAATGTAGGAACAAAGTATGATGAAAAAAGACATTTGCCACAGCATTTAATTTTTAACAGCACAAAATAGGTGACCTGCAGTTCGTAATGAGGGATTGGGCCGTTTAATAAAATGGTGGCATTGCTGGTAATGGGTAGAACGCAGCCAGCAGAGGTGGTGTGGGCAGAGCCTGCAGTAACGCGGAAAACTCCTCATCCTGTAAGTTCAGTAAACCATGGCCTGAGATTCTATGTGGGTTATGATGTCACCCAGCGGGATATACTAACAGAGAAAACGCTCTGTAGAAAGCTCTTAGAGCAGAACTGTTCCGACGGGCTCCATTCCTGGGATTTCCTCCCGGGCCGACCTGGCAGTGGCTTCCATGCACTCAGATTGTGGCAGGTCCACCCATGAGGATTAATGAATTCTAGTTTTGCCATTCATTTCCTAATTTATGTTTTTATTATGAGCTATGTGATTATACGTGTTGCGAACCCCAAATCCAAAAACAAAATGCAAAATGCTCTAAATTCTTTTTTTTTTCTTCTTTTTGAGACAGAGTCTCACTCTGTCACCCGGGACGGAGTCCAGTGGCACGATCTCAGCTCAGTGCAACCTCTGCCTACTGGGTTCAAGCGATCCTCCTGCCTCAGCCTCCCTATTAGCTGGATTACAGGCACCTGCCACCACGCCTGGCTAATTTTTGTATTTTTAGTAGAGATGGGGTTTCATCATGTTGGCCAGGCTGCTCTCGAACTCCTGACCTCAAGTGATTCGCCTGCCTTGGCGTCAGATGCTCCAAATTCTGTGTCGATGTGACGCTGAAAGGCAGTGCTCATTGGAGGAATTCAGATTTTGGATTTCAGATTTGGGGATGCTGAACCATCAAGTGCAATGCAAATATTCCAACATTAAAAAAAAAAAAAGAAATCCAAAACACTTGTGGTCCCAAGAATTTCAGATAAGGGACACTCAGCCTGTAAATACATAGAATTGTGCATCACACACAGTTTCACAGTTTACCTGGTAATGAGAAGAGGCCACATGCCTGTGCCCAGCTCAGAAGGGGCCGTGACTCACACACTGAGCCTCAGCCGCCCCTTCTCAGCCTCAGCTGTCTCCGCTCACACCCTAGGAAACGACGCTACTCAGTTTTACATCAGTTATTCCTTTGGTTCTCCTTTGTACTTGTACAGTGTCTATCTTAAAGGGTTCTTTTCACCTCTCCTGTTTTTGCACTTTTCTGTAGCTGTCCCATGGTGCGCGCAGCCTCTGTTGCTTTTTCTCTCGGCATTGCTGGGGTCGGTCCCTGCGGGTGCCGCAGCTGCAGCGCTTTCCTCTCCCTGCCTGCAGCCTGCCTCTGAAAGGAGGTACACTGTCACCGTGTTTCTCTGGACGGGTAGCTAGGTGCTTCCTGAAAGGAGGTGCGCCCTCACTATACGGGTTTCTCTGGGTGGATAGCTGGGTGTTTCCTGAAAGGAGGTGCACTCACTGTGTTTCTCTGGATGGGTAGCTAGGTGCTACCCGTTGGCATTACACATCAAGCCTCTGAATATTTGTGTGGCTGGCTCTGCAGAAGCTCCTCCTGGGGGCATGCCCGGGGCAGCATCACTGCTGGCGTGCAGGGAACCCAGGTGCGCGCTTCACCAGGTGATGAGCGGCCCTGTCCCTGCCCAGTCCCCCCAGCTCCCGCTCCCTGCAGACTTCACTTTGCCACTCTGCTCTTTGGGAAATGGACTCTCACCATGGTGGAAGATTCAGTGATGTCATCTGCCTTGGCCAGAGTAGGATGATGGTGAGGGCTGGGGCCTGTTTCATACTGAAAGCACTGGGGGAAAGGACACGTGCCCCTGTCCGTATGTCATGTCACCCACGAAGCACCCAGAAGACACGCCAGGCCCACGTGATGCTACAGAATCAATGTGGGGTTGCAGGACTCTGTGCCATTAAGAAGACCTACAAGTGTTTCTGATACAATGATGACTTTAAAATTTGAATCACATCACCTGAAAACTGAAAGTCCTAACTTTAATCAAACTATAGAGTTAAATTGTTCTGAACCCCAGAACGTTTTTGTAATGAAAAATGGCTGGCCGGGCGCGGTGGCTCACGCCTGTAATCCCAGCACTTTGGGAGGCCGAGGAGGGCGGATCACAAGGTCAGGAGATCGAGACCACGGTGAAACCCCGTCTCTACTAAAAATACAAAAAATTAGCCGGGCGCAGTGGCAGGTGCCTGTAGTCCCAGCTACTCAGGAGGCTGAGGCAGGAGAATGGCAGGAACCCGGGAGGCGGAGCTTGCAGTGAGCCGAGATCGCGCCACTGCACTCCAGCCAGGGGGACAGAGCGAGACTCCGTCTCAAAAAAAAAAAGAAAAAAAGAGAAAAATGGCAGCCAGCCAGCAATTTAGTTATTTCATTCCCAAACCAACACATTTCAGGCGTTAATATTTCTAATCAAGACTTAGGAAAATTTGGGATATTTCCATAGGGTAAGTTAGAAGGTATTTTATGCAGAATGGAAAAATGACTATTTTATTACTTTGAAAAGTACAGTATGAGTATTAGAACTGAAATACTGCTGAGGAAAACACAACTTTCTATTTTAGAAAATCATTTTTAAAGCCTTCTTCACATTAACTAAAACCCCAGAAGAATATAATCCAGATATTTCCATTGTAGCCTATGATTCAAGTATGCAAGTGACAGGTTTCGTTATTTGGGCAGGGAGGAGTGCATTGGGGTTAAGCCAGGCACTTTTTGCTTCCTTCTCTCACATTTTGCCTATTTTAAAAGACAGCTGTTGAACTGTTTCCCTTTTCAGGAAGAGGCATGGTCTCCTACCATGCACACAACGGTCCTGTCAAATTCATCATCCTGGCCACGGCTCTGCATGAGAAAGACAAGGACAAATCCGGGGACGGCCTGGCTCCCGGCCCCGAGCCCCAGGACGAAGACCAGAAGGATGCACTTCCGAGTGAAGGAACCGGTTCGTCCCTGAACCAGGGTGACGCTGACACAGCCATCTGGTTGGGAGATTCGCTGGGATCGATGACTCAGAAAAGCGACGTGTCCTCCTCGTCCGGGTCCCTGAGCTTGTCTCACGGCTCCAGCTCTCTAGAGCACAGGTCGGAGGACAGCACCATCTGTGACCTCCTGAAGGATCCTGTCTCTCTGAGAAGCAAAGCACGCCGGGCCAAGAAAGCCAAGGCCAGCTCGGCGCTGGTGGTCTGTGGAGGGCAGGGCCACCGGCGGGTGCACAGGAAGGCCCGGCAGCCCCACCAGGAGGAGCTGGCGCCGTCCGTCATGGTCTGGCAGATCCCTCTGCTGAATATATAAGCAGGGCGGCCGCCTCCTGCTGTCAGAATTTGCAATCAAGGGTGACTTCTCAGCTAATCCTACAGCCTGAGTGATTAAGCTGTGTCTACACTGGTTGGGAATAAATTAAAAACAGTATTTGGGGGAGAAACGTGCAATATCGTCATGGTGGCGTTCCTGCCAATTCCTTCCTTCTCTTCCATACAGCAGAAGTAATTACAAGCACTTCTAACGAAGGCAGAAGATTGATGCAATTTTCGAGTAATTGAGTGCAGTTCTGGGAAAATACCACATTCTTTTTGACTGCTGTAGTCCATATATAAATACTAAATGTTAAACTTCATCAGTGCCAGACCTGTCATATCATATTACAGAATTCGCAGACTAAGAATTTATGAGAAAATATGTGTATTCAGTAGTGCAGGCATCTATTAACAATTCTTAAAATAATTTTACCTGATTCAGATTCACGACTTTTATTTATATTCTCTATTTTTGAATTTCAGAATAAAATTTTTTAACAACTTTAAAAGCCAGGTAACACCTACAAGTCCAGTTAGCATGATTTGCTTTCAGAAGTGAGCTGGGTTTTCCAAAGTGGTATAATATGTGTACTGTATATTTTAACAAAGTAATATTTTTATATTGCATTTTTCTATTAAAAAAATTAACAGTTAATGTTTCAGTCAATATATTATCTGTAGCATTTCACAAATAATGTGTGCTTTGAACCAAAATGCTCAACATTTGGACTCAAGCATCAACACCAAATTATTCCTCCCTTCTCGCATCAATAGAGTGACTATCCACATGAGAAACGTGTGTGCTTTAGTGTTAGAGGAGATAGGCAGAGCAGTCTTGCTTAGTTCCTTGGTGCGGCTTCTTGCCCCTTTGACCTGGAACGCTGTGTCTGCTTTAGCACGCACGCTCCGAATGACTCCTGGTGCTAGGCCATGCTGGCTGCTGTCGCTGAGCGGGACCCAGGCCAAGAAGCGTGACCTCGGGCCAGCCTGTCTGTTGTGCAGACGCCTCCTCTGCAGAACGCATCAGTTTCTATTCCGCAGTCGCAGAGCCAACCCCGCGTGACAAGGTGCATAATGAGTGCACACCATCCTGTCAAGGTGCATAGTGAGTGCACACCATCCTGTCAAGGTGCATACTTAGTGAACTCCATCCTGCTCAACGTGTATTTCAATGTTTCACTTACTGGACGGGTAACAAGAAAAAAATCCTAACCCAGGCAGTCACCAGAAATAAATGTCTCAGCACTTTACAGATGACTAAAAATGTTAATTTTATGACTTAGCCAAATATTTTCTAGGTTGCATATATCCCCCATGTGAAAGTGATTTCTTCCCAAGCTTCTCCAACTGTTAGCTGCTGTCTGACTTCATAAATAAAGTATTTTTATTTTAAAATGCAGTAGGACGAGTTGCCTCTTTTATGTGTCAGATGGAAAGGGGCATCACACTCGGGGGCGGGGGGATTGGTCTGCACATTCCTAGCTGCATCACCACTTGCTACTTCTAAATCCCAGCAGCACACCCGGTTGCATGGAGGACGGCGCTCTGAATTGGAAGTAGTCACTGGGAATCTTTCAAGCGACTCATGTACTTGTTCTTTGTTTGTTTTAAGAGACAAAATCTCCCTCTGTTGCACAGGCTGCAGTCCCGTGGCGTGATCATGGTTCACCATAACCCCCCTGGGCTCCCACAATCACTGCAGTCTCAACGTCCCAGGTTCAAGCGATTCTCCCACCTCAGTCTCCTGAGTAGCTGGGACTACCGATGCACACCACCCCACCTAACTCTTTTTTTCTCTTTAACATTTTATAGAGATGGGGTCTCGTTATGTTGTCCAGGCTAGTCTCAAACTCTTGACCTCAAGCAGTCCTCTTGTCTCAGCCTCCCAAAGTGCTGAGATTCCTGGTGTGAGCCAGGAATTGGTGGGCAGAATTTCGCCACCCTTCGAGCCTCTGACGGCGGCTCTGGTCTCTGCGATTCCTCCAGGAAGGCAGGATGGATTTACTAACTTGGTAGAAATGGGGAGGAGGGTTCGGAGCCTTCCAGTTGATGGTTCCTAATTCAGTGGCTCTGACTTCACAGTCATGCCCAGCCTGTACTTGGCCATTCCATTTTGAGTTATGAGTAGAATGAATTTCCTGTAAAATGTTCCTATTATGGTGGTTTTACGAGACCAGGGCCAACATCTTACACGGACAGATGAATTCAATGTGTAAAGTTAACTTGCTGGGACAGAATTCTTTCCACACGATTGATGGTGTGGGACATGGACAGAGTGGGGTCTGTGTAACTGACTTCTTACCTCCCACTGCCCTCCTAGAGAAGAGAGACTTCCAGAGATCCTGAGAGAGGCAGGCACAGGAGGGCTGTGGGGGAGGAAGAGGTTGGAGAACGTGGGCTGCAGAGAACTCCTGCTATGCTGGGACATGGGTTCCGCTTTCACAGGCTCACAGTGAATGAGGAAAACAAGCGTATCACCAACGAAGGAAACCGTGCGTAGAGGCAAGTGCATTCGCTAAGCAACAAGCTTCTATTGAGCACCTGATGAGTGTCAGAGGTGAGGCCAAGCTCTGTCTTAGGCCCTGGGGATGCGACAAGAGAGAAGCAGCATCCCTTTGGGGTTTCCGCTGTCCGTTTATTCCCCCTCTCCTCTGCAGAGCCCTGGGCTCTTCCTGGACAGGGATTAACCCAGTGACAGCAGGACACATGGGAGCCCAGGGCCAAATGGCTGCATCTGCGCCAGCTTCCGGGCCCCCATCTGCTGGGCAGACCCTCAGTAACTTGATCAACAGGGAGCCTGACTGGCACCATGATCTCACCTCCTGATGGGGCCCCTGTCCTGCCCTGAGGCGTGGCCAGGCTTGATATTTCATCACAGCAGCCTGAACGGACACAGGAAAGCACCAAGAGACATTGCTCAGCAATGAACGAAAACCCGCAGGTCATGGTCCAAGTCCCACACCTGAGTCAGCTTACAGGCTCGGAGCTCATCGACTGAAGGGGGAGTCAGGCTCACCTGAGGAAGGACCCCAAACGTAGACTGCAAGCATGCATGGTCCATGCTTCCCCACAGGGACCTGCATCCATGTGCCGGGAAGACCGCAGTGGTCATGGGAAAGAGCCAACCTCGGAAACTGTCCAGGCTCCGAGTCGCCACCAAGCAGAGAAGCAGAGCAGCCCCTTGGGCTGTAGAGGGGTCTTATGAAAGCCACGTGGCACGTGGAGTTCGGCCCATGTCCGTCTCACAAGGGCCAGGTGTGTAATTGGGATGGACAGAGCTGGCAGCTGGCAGAAACCATCACTAGTTCCGTAACCTGTGAAGTCAGAGCCACTGAATTAGGAACCATCCATTGGAAGGCTCTGAACACCCCTCCCCATTCCTACCCAATCAGTAAATCCATCCTGCCTCCCTGGAGGAATTGCAGAGATCAGAGCCGCCGTCAGAGGCTCAAAGGATGGCGAAATCCCAGTGCCCACCAATTCCCATGTAATTCATGGAACTGGGCACTGCAGACCCCAGGCTGTGGTGGAAGGCGGCGGTGAGGTCCTGCAGCATGACCAGGTGGTCTCTCCAGTCACAGCCGCAGTGACAAATAGCATCTTCACCGGAACAGATCAGCGCAGCTGCCGATTCAGCAGCTGCACTTTTCTGCACACCTATCCATGGAGCGAAGACAGCTTGCCTTGACTGGGCGAGGACTGCAGTGCATTTCCTGCCGTGCTCACTGTGCTCTGAACCCTGGCTTGACTGTAAGGCGACAAGGTCACTACTGTGTCGATGATCTCATGCTGCCTGGACCTGGGAGAAGTCAGGTGACCAAGGCAGGCAGGTGTCTGCCTGAGGCTGGGAGATATCGCAGGCCTGCCACATCACTGAAGCTTCTGGGGTTTCAGCATCTGTGCATGCCCTGATACACCCCATGAGGTAAAGGGCAAACCATACCCCACGCTCCTTGCCATTCTGGGGAGCAGTGACTGGGGGGCCTCTGGATTTTGGACCCACCATGCCCTACACATGGGAAGACTGCTCCAGCTCATTTCTGGGGAGCCTCTGGGGCTGGCAGTTTTGAAGGGGGCCAAGAGAAGGACAAGCTGCTCAGCCACTTCTGCGGCACAGGCGCCTTGCCGGCCTCATGACGACACGGATGGGACTGTGCTGAGACGTTGCTGTAGCAGCATGGCCCACAGAGCTGCAGAGCCAGGCTCTGTTATCTCCCATCGAAAAATGGAGCTTGGGTGGTACTAGGCCCAGTCAAAATTGGGCGCCAGGATCCACACAGAGGCCACTCTCAGCGCAGGCTGCAGAACAAACCACCATAGACTGGGCAGCCTCACCATGTTGATTTCTCCCTGTGCTGGAGGCTGTCAGATCCAGGTGCCCGCACGGCTGGGTGTGGCAGGGGCCCCTTCCTGGCCTGCAGCCAGCCAGCTTCTCACCGTGTCCTCCCATGGTTGGGGGAGGAAACAAGTTCTCTTATAAAGACACGATCTCATCGTGAGGGCCCCACCCTGGTGACCTCATCCCTTCCTAGAGGCCATCACACTGGGAATTAAGGCCTCGGCATATTAATCTGGGGGGACCCAAACCTGCAGTCCAGAACAGATGCTGACTGTGAGCTAAGCAGCCCGTGGAATGCTGTTATGAGATGGGTGAGTTGCAGGCTGGGATGGACACGACACCTTAGGGACAGCACCGAGCAGGTTCAGAAAGTGAAGTAGAATGCAGGAAACAGCGTCCATTGCACCGCCCCATCCACACCCAGCCACGTGCAGTGCCCTGCAGCAACTGGCCCCTGGGGGAGCGTGGGGACACCCCGTCCTTGCTGCCTGCACTGCGGTCCTGGCTGTCTCGTCCTGTGCAGGGAAGGCCCTGCCGGAAGCTGTGGAGGACGCTCCTCCGCACACGACGGCCGCTCACAGGGCACACAATCGTCCTGTCAGGTGGAAGAGGATGAGCAAAAGCCTGTGTCTTTGTGTCTGCGTTAACGCCCCCAGAGACAAAGCCCCAGACCACGGGGTGAGCAGAGTAGCCTGTCTGGGGCTGTTGGCCAGAGAGGGTTTGTGCAATGGGTGTAGGAACACAAGGGCCACTGCGGTGGTGCTGTTGTGGCTCCCCAGCTCAGTATCATGGGCTCCCTGGCACCAAGGCTGGCCTTGCTAAGACCCCACTGAGTGTCCAGTGTGCCAGCAACAGCCTTGTGGCTCCTGCAGTTTGGCACCATTTCCTGGGAAGACCAGCCCAGTACAGTCAGGTTGGCACTGGGCAGGAAACAGTGCTCCCCGCCAGGCCCCCACGGCCCTGCTTGGGCAGTGCACACTCGGGCGGGAAGCTGGAGGCTCCGTCGGCTCCCTGCTCCCCTCCACTCTTTCAAGGGGCCTGGAGAAGAACTGACCGTTGGAGCAGGGCAGTGAACTCGGCATCCCCAGCTGCCGTGGGGAGGGATGCACGTGCGCTGCTGTGGACACGGAGGCCTCTGGTGGCTGAAAACACCATTGTGCTCCCAGGGGTCCCCCGGTGCCCACCTCACCTCCCGGGCCTGCGTCCGATGGCTTCTGCCATTTCTCACAAAAATGAGCCAAGTTCTGGGCTCCTGGTTAGAAAGCAGCAGAGCCAGGGCAGGAACAGGAAAATCCATGCTCTTTGGTTTTCTCACTGTCAGATGTCAAATCAGGGCCACGAGCTGCCTCCTCCGTCTGCAGAGGGAGGGTGACAGGCACGATGCAAGGCGCGTGTCCCCTCGGGTGCGCTGGCCGCTGCGGCCCCTTCCCATGATCAGTGTGTTTCTGAGCACGGCCCTAGTGACGCGAGGTGTCATTCACGTCCTGCAGACAGGACACCATGGCTCTGTGTGTGGGAGTCTCACCACGGGCTACTTGGCCAGGGGCGGTAGGAGCAGCCTGGCTCTGTGACACACGGCCGCCCTCATTACCAGAATTGACCCGAGTCAGGATGACGGGGTTGGGATTACAGAGTAAAGGGGCGGTGAGACTCAGGCCCTGGGAAGCTGTGGGCTCAGCCAGGGCCGTTAACCGCATGGCCTGGAGCCCGGCCCGGACACACAGCAAACAAACAAAAGGGCTGGAAGCAGAAACCAACCACAAGCTGTCCACAGGAATCTGTGCCCTGGTGCCACCCGGGGGCTTTTCCCTCCTGCATATTGTAAACGGTGGCGACAAGGCCCAGCTTGCTGGCTGGAAAGCCGCCCTCCAGTCCCAGAGCCGGCAGCCTCTGAGACCCGGAGGGTTCTGTACGTTCTGGTTCCAAGCGGGTACCCCGTGTAGATGGCACACGGCCAAGTGTGGCAGAACCGCCTTTTCCGAGGATAAAGAAGAGACGGGCCGTTCTGCAGGCTTGTAGGATGATGCTTGACCATCGATGGCAAAAGCCTAGAGCTCTGT